TATATACTTTAAAAATGGCCAAAAATGCAAATTTTAGCTTAATGGGATAAAGTTTTTGGGCCTCACAGTTTTGGGCCCAATTGGTGAAAAAAAAGAAGTTTTAGGGTTAAAAATGTTAATTGGCCAAAGTTTGATTTATAAATGTTAATAAACCAAATTTAGAGGTGAAAATAACATTTATTTTCAAATTGGACCAAAAATGTAAAGTTTTTTAAAATTGGGCCGAAAGTGTAAACTTTTACAAACAAGGGACTGAAAATGTATTTTCTGCAAAATAGGGTTCTAAATGTGAAAATATAACTTTTTGGGTTGAAACCGTAAATTTTTAAACATTTGGGACAAAATTGCAAATTTTTATAAATTATGGACTAAAGTGTCAATTTTACAAAACTTTAGATCTAAATTAAAAATTTGAGGATTATTGGCCAAAAATGTCATATTTACAAAGAGGAAGACTTTTTATCATCAATCTAGTAAACATCGAGGTAAAACACACAACAGAACAAAAACAAATGAATGAAACACGTCGATAACTATTTATTGGGCCTAATATTCACACTATTTGGCCAATGGACCCAAAGGGCCCATTTGAGTGTATATTGAGCCCAATGTTTTCCATGACATGTTTATTGGGCCTTACGACCCACTTACATGTTAATTTGGGCCTAATTTATGGGTTATATGTTATTGGGCCTTTGTGACCCATTTACATGCCTATTGGGCCTAAATGACCCTTTTATTATGTTATTGGACCTTTGTGACCCATTTACATTGGGCTTGGAATGAAAATTCACATACTTTGTAGATCGTAAATATACCTCTATATAGTTTATGAATTCGTATACTTACGTTTGGAATGGAAAATCTATAGCCTACGCGTAAAACATTAAACATGGGGAAAAACACATCGAACAGGAAAGGTTGAAAATCTAGTGAGACTTGTCGATTGGCACCTTTGAGTGTACAATCGTAGCCTATAGTTATAACCAGAGTTTGCTGGAGGGAAAACAAGAGTTTGTGTATAGATCTATATGGGGTGACCCCCCACGCCTTAGCTATTCGTTACAACTAGACTAGGCCAGTCTAGGGCGACAATATCTTGAGCAATACCGGCGTTTGGAAAAATGCCAGGACGGGCGATTTAATTATTATCATGCATGGTTATAACGGCTCATGTAGGGATTCAACACCACTTAAACACATAGAAGATTAATTCTTTAATTATGTCAATACGAAAGCACTTGATCAACAAGACAAGAACCTAGACATTAAGACAGAAATTATCGGATTTTTTGGGAAAAATATTCATATACATTTATCACTTATTCACGATACAATGAATATAAACTACACTTATATATGTTATATAACATCCGGATTTTCAGGTACATTATTAATTATTATTTTAGGAGATTTTGAGAGAGACTCGACGAGTTGATGCTTAGACTCGCCGAGTAGAGTCACGAATTTTCATCCGGGTTAATGACTGGACTCGGCGAGTCGACTAGTGGACTCGGTGAGTCCGCGCTGTTTAATGAAACCCTAATTTCCGGGGTTTGAGACATATTTAAAGGCCATTATGGCCTTCATTTGCGGCTACCAGTTGATAGAGAGAGAACCCAGAGTGTGTGAGTGTTTTGAGAGAGAAATGAAGCCATTTTTGATCCTCGTGTGGGTGATTTTGCAAGAAGAAGGTGACCAAGGCAAGAGGAAGCTGAAGAGGGAGCTAATCTGTGGATTTC